GCAGTGTCCATACAGTGCCATGTCCATGACCTCCTGTGTCTTTAAGCAGGGGTATCTGTAAGCTGCTGTATGTTGTCCTGTCCATAATCCCCTGGTCCATAAGCTGCTGTGGCTATAAGTGCTGGAGCTGTACCGTGTCCACACACAGTGACAACCATGTGGCTCACACTGCTGGTGCTGCTGGTCCTGGCCATGCTGGCCCTGGGGCGAGTTGCCTACAGGCTGCTGGCCCCATCTGGCAGCCCCTTTGCTGGGCCACCCCTGGAGCCTCCCAGGCCACTGGTGACAGACCCACGTGCCCGGGACAAGGTCCTGAAGAAGGGTGAGTGCTCGGTGTCCATCGTGTGTCTGTCTATCTGGGTGTGTTCTGACCTGTGGAGTGCCAGGAGTGCTGCCCATTGTGTGTGCTCATGTCACCTGGTGCATGCCACAGTGTGGCTGAGCACATGTGTGTGCACAGGGTTCAGTGTCTGGGGTGGTCACTGATGGGCTGAGCACACGTGTGCACAGGGTTCCATGTTCAGTGGTGGTCACTGACAGACTGAGAACACATGTGTGCACAGGGTTCAGTGTCTGGGTGTGACCATGGGCAGTGATTAATCACATACATGTGCAGAGTTCAGTGCCTGGGTGTGACCATGGGCAGTGATTAATCACATACATGTGCAGAGTTCAGTGCCTGGGTGTGACCATGGGCAGTGATTAATCACATACATGTGCACGGTCCAGTGTCTGGTGGTGGTCACTAATGGTGTGAGCACACACATATGCACAGGGTTCCATGTTCAGTGGTGGTCACTAATGGTCTGAGCACACACATATGCACAGGGCTCCGTGTTTAGTGGTGGTAACTAACAGGGTGAGCACACGTGGTGCAGGGCTCTGTGTTCAGTGGTGGTAACTAACAGGCTGAGCACACATGTATGCACAGGGTTCTTTGTTCAGTGGTGGTCACTAATGGTCTGAGCACACATGTGGTGCAGGGTTCTGTGGCCAGTGGTGGCCATGGGCAGGTTCTGAGCACACGTGTGTGCACAGGGTTCAATGCCCAGCGGGTGCCGGAGCGGCTGGATGCAGTGGTCATCGGCAGTGGCATCGGGGGGCTGACGGTGGCTGCCACCCTGGCCAAGGCAGGCCGGAGGGTGCTGGTGCTGGAGCAGCACGACCAGGCTGGTGGGTGCTGCCACACCTTCCAGCAGCATGGCACCGAGTTTGATGTGGGTAAGGACCCCCAAATACCCCTACCATCCCCCCAAACCCCTCAGCATCCCCTGCAGCCTCCACAGTCCCCATGAGTGAACTCACTGCATGTGTGTATGTGTGTGGGAGCGTGTTGTGCAGCTGTGTGCATGCAGTGTGTGTGCACAGTGTGTGTGCATGCAGTGTGTGCTGTTTGCATGTAGCCTGTGTGCAATGTGTGTGCAGTGTGTCCATGCCATGTCCATGCCATGTGTGTGCTGTGTCCATGCCATGTTCATGCCTTGTCCATGCTATTTGTGTGACATGTCCATGCCAAATCCATGCCTTGTCCATGCTGTGTCCATGTTGTGTCTGGACTGTGTCCATGCCATTTCTGTGCCATGTCCATGCCATGTCCACGCCATGTGTGTGCCATGTCCATGCCTTGTCCATGCTGTGTCCATGTTGTGTCTGGACTGTGTCCATGCCATTTCTGTGCCATGTCCATGCCATGTCCACGCCATGTGTGTGCCATGTCCATGCCTTGTCCATGTTGTGTCTGTACTGTGTCCATGCCATGTGTGTGCCATGATGTCCATGCCGTGTCCATACTTTGTCCGTGCTGTGTCCATGTTGTGTCTGTACTGTGTCCATGCCATGTGTGTGCCATGATGTCCATGCCGTGTCCATACTTTGTCCGTGCTGTGTCCATGTTGTGTCTGTACTGTGTCCATGCCATGTGTGTGCCATGATGTCCATGCCGTGTCCATACTTTGTCCGTGCTGTGTCCATGTTGTGTCTGTACTGTGTCCATGCCATGTGTGTGCCATGATGTCCATGCCGTGTCCATACTTTGTCCGTGCTGTGTCCATGTTGTGTCTGTACTGTGTCCATGCCATGTGTGTGCCGTGATGTCCATGCCTTGTCCATGCTGTGTCCATGTGTTGTCTGTACTATGTCCATGCCATGTCTGTGCCATGTCCAGGCCATGTCCATGCCATGACCATGCCAGCAACCCATCCCAACCCCACCCCTAGTGTGACCCACAACACAGAGGCCAAACCCTTCCCTCCCCCATTGCCCCTGAGTGCTCCCACTGCGTGTCCACATGATCCCCCTGGTGTCCCCATCCTGTGTCCCCTGTCCCCCAGGCATCCACTACGTGGGGCAGGTGCACCCGGGCAGCATGCTGCGTGTGGCACTGGACCAGCTGACAGATGGGCAGCTCTGCTGGCACCGCCTGCCCGACCCCTACGACGAGGTGACCCTGGGACCTCGGCGCTACCAGCTGCACGCTGGCAAGGTGACCTTTGTCACTGCACTGGAGGAGCAGTTCCCTGCTGAGAGAAAAGCCATCAGGGAGTACATGAAGCTCTCCAAGGTGGGAGCCTGGTGGTCACCTCCCCATGGGGGTGGCATGTCCCCAAGAAGGGGTGGTAGGGTTGAGAGTGGACAGGTTGGGATGTCAGGGTGGTGGCACTGGTGGGAATGTGGATGATGGGTGGGCATGGGGAATGGGTGTGGTGGGGAAGGGGCTGTGGGAATGGTAGGGACAAGGGTAATGGGTGTGGAGGGGACATGGGTGAAGGGTATGGTGGGGACAAGAGTGATGGGTTTGGTGGAGACAAGAGTGATGGATATGGTGGTGAGTGGGAGTGTTGGGGACAAGAGTGGTGGGCATGGAGAGGACACAGGTGATGGACATGGTGGTGACATGGGTGATGATCATGGAGGGGACACAAATGATGGATGTGGAGCGGGATACAAGTATTAGATATGGTGAGGACAAGTCCTGGAGATGATGAGGACACTGCTGGGTGCTGAGCCAGGGGTGGGGATGGGGTCACAGCAGTGACAGTCCTGAGGATGTGGTGATGTCCAGGCAGGGCAGTGTGGGTGGTACAGTGACACAGGTGGATGTCTCACAGGTGGCCTCGCGGCACGTGGCACTGCTGGTGATGCTGAAGCTGGTCCCACTGTGGCTGGCCAAGCTCCTGCTCCGCTCTGGCCTCCTGCACTTGTTGTCCCCTGTGTTCCACATTGCATCCACCAGCCACAGCCAGGCCACAGAACAGCTCACCAACGACCTCGACCTGCGCGCCCTGCTCGGCTACCTCTTCTACGGTCAGGGGCCGTCAGGATGGGGAGGGGTGTGTCGTGACAGGGAGGGGTCTGGTTTTGTCATGGTAGGGTGAAGGGCTGTGTCATGATAGGGGATGGCACCATCCTGTCAGGGGCGTGCTGCATTGCAATGAGGAGGGCTGTGTCGTGATATCAGAGGGTGATGTTGCATTAGGAGAGGGCTGTGTTGGGGTAGGGGAAGGCTGTTGTGATAGGAGAAGGATGTGTTGTGATAGGGAAGAGCATCATGGTGATAGGGAAGGGCATCATGGGGATAGGGAAGGGCATCATGGTGATGGGTGAGGGCTGCAGCACGATAGGGGAGGGCTTTATCAGGATGGGCAAGGCTATGTCGTGATGAGGAGGACCATGTCATGGTAGGGAAGGGCTGTGTCATGATAGGGAAGGGTTGTGTCACAATCAGGGAGGCAATGTCATGGCAGGGAAGGGCTGTGCCATGATGGGGAAGGGTTGTGTCACAATCAGGGAGGCAATGTCATGGCAGGGAAGGGCTGTATCATAACTGGGTTGGACTCGATGATCTTTGAGGTCTCTCCCAACCCGGTTGATTCTATGATAGGAGAGGGTTGTACTGTGATGAGAAGGGCCATGTCGTGACAGGGGAGGTGACATTGGGGAGTTTGCCAGCCATGCCTGCTACCTTTCCCCAGGCACAGCCCCGCGGGACTCCAGTTTCCTGGTGAACCTGCTGCTGGTGCATCACTACCAGCGCGGGGCTTGGTACCCGCGGGGAGGGGCGAGCGAAATCGCCTTCCACGCCGCGAACCTGATCGAGAGCGCGGGGGGCGCCGTG